TTCTATTTTCGTATGAAATTGCAGACGAGGCGAAGATGTTTGAACTTTTTGAGAAAGCTCTGAATTGACATTCCGCGGCGGTCTAAAGGCATACAGGGAATAACGATTATGGAATTCTTCAGGCACCAATAATCCTTTGGCACAAAAGAGAGAAAGAGAGAGAGAGATAGAGAGACCGAAACATCCTACTACTGTAAAATAGAATTAAGTGAAATTAGATGTGTTTTATAATTCTTTTATCCAATTATGCGCGCAATTAGTATTAAATTCGTACATTTAAACTAAATTACAAGGCAAAAAGCAAGGAACACACTTGTCGCTTGATTAGATAGAATGCAGTGATTTGAGAAACGCGCAAAGCGGGTTGTTACTGGTTGAGGAAGTTTCCGCGGGAACTCCATGAGACGGAAAACGAGTAAAGTAATCGTGAATCGATACCAGCGGCTCTCTAAACTACTCGAAAGTTGAAAGAGATCTAATGCCACGCTGTCTGGTTCCCAAGATAACCGTGGAACTAGCGACGGCACTTGCTCGTCGATTGAATGAGTCAATTTCGCAAACTGCTTAAATGTCTATCTTACTATCAAAGATAACTAAGTGATTTAAATTAGGAGTTGAATAATCTGCCAAACTTTTGCAATCCATTAATCTTTTTCTATATTCATGTGATACTAAATCTAGCGTACAGGTCACAGCTAATCAGCGATTTTACAATGATATAAATAATAGGATGGTCGACTTGAGAGCTTTTCAGGTAAAGCCGTAAGGTCGACACTGAGCCACTCGAATGACACGTCACACCGCATCTCCGCAACGATGTTCGATTCCGTCGATAAGACGAAATTCCGCTGAACGAATCGCGGGCTGTTAACGGCAAACATGCTCGAGACGTGTACGATTTCGCCGACCCGAATCCCTTACACCTCGTGGGTACATAGCACGCCGGAATTGAAAGTGTAGGAAACACGGAGATCCCGGAGTCCCAGTAAATCTCTCGAGGAATTCACGTCGGCTCTGGCAAGAGGCGAGATGCGCAAGGGGGTTGGACGAGATAGCGGGGAACCGGCAGGGGGTCAGGGGCGTTCTAATCGGCTTGTACGTGTACTTCCTTCACAAATAGCTAAGCTCGTTGTGGAAGGCGGTTAAGCTCGGGAGATGTTTTCATCAAAGGTGGTTAAATTCCGGGAAAATCCCGCAGAGAGAGACGCGGAAATGAAATTATCGACAAGGCAGCAAAGTTGGATAGAAAAACTTAAGATGTTATCGCTCCATTGGTAAACGTGTTAGTCCATCGATGGTGTCATTTCATTTCACTTTGACTTTACCGCACGCGCATAACATGTTTCACTCGATTGCATGTAACATCGCTTTTAATCGTTCTATGTAATCGAATACCATTACGGGAAATCGAGCTGCGTGTAACGTATCCAATTGATTTTGTTATCAATTTCAATGTCTGTTGGCATTATTCGATATAGATGGATCATAGCACACTAATTTTCTTCAAAGGTTTAATAATCATGTTACATATAGTTGTTTGTGAATTTATGGCAGATAAATTGACTAGCTCTTTCTCTCTCTCTCTCTCTCTCTCTCTCTCTCTCTCTCTCTCTCTCTCTCTCTCGTCTTTCTAAAATTATATCAACATCATTTCGCGATTCACTGTTGTTGACGTGGCATATCGCAATCACGCAATAAAATTCTAATATAGTTAATAAAGTATAAAATATTGTACTTTGATTTCTATTAATTATTGCAATCAATTTTCAATACTTATGTTACATATTATTTTATCAATTATTTTAATTTACTAATGTTATAAAAAATCTTTATGTTAAATAAAGATAAACTTCTTTTTGGCCAACAATAAATTTTTTCACGTCTTTTCAGTTACTTGACAGGGACAGTATTTTCGAAAAATATCGCGTACAAAAATACTATAGTTATGTATATGTTATTTCCTTAATATTTTACTATGTAATATTTTTGTATGTAATATTTTTCAAGAATAAGAATATGTCCGAATAATAATCGCAGCGATTTGTTTCGTGGTAAAATTACAAGCAATTGTGATTTACGAAAAAACTGCCTGTGGGGAGAAAAATAAAATATCTCTTACAACATGACAAATGACTAAAGATGGTGGATTTTGGCGACAATCTTGCAGAAGGTCACGTAGCAAACCGTCCCAGTAGCAAACCGCGATGACGACCCACGTACCATGATAATCAGTCATGGAAATATTCCAGCGTTGCGAAATGAACGTTTATGGCATGTGATTTTTCTTACGTTGTTGATATCGTTCCTAATTCAACGTAATTGTTTTTATCCGGAGAATCATTTTCCACTGACTATACTCTCGATTGTTATTTTCGACAAATTAGAAATGTATTTAAATGTACAGTTATTGTTCCCTTTTAAACAACACTGTCCACCATCTAAATTCTTTCTAAAATGTCATAGTACAAATTCCGGAATTTTTTCGTCCTGAATACGATCCCGTTGGTAGAATTTGTGTAGCGTGTCAGGTTTTTTAGTAAATTGAGATAAAATGGGTTAAAAATGACAAAAAGAAGTTTTTGGCCATTTTCAACACTTTTTTTAAAGGCAAAACAAAAACTTGTTTCTAAATAAAACTCCTATTTAATATTACATACCCGTTTACTAAAAATCTTTGTAAATATGCATTTTAGGTGACATCTCACTGATTTCAATGTCCTTTAGATATGTTGTAGGGAAGAGTGTCCTGAGTGATTTTCCATAAAAATTAAGTGGGGGATGGCATTAGTTTAAAGAACACGTTAAAATCGGTAAAGTGTCATCTAAATCGCATATTTACCAAAATCCTGATACATTACGTAAAATTTGACGATGGTATTGTGTTCAACTAAAAAAACTTTCAAGTTACGTACTATGACACTTCGAAAATAAAAGAATACTTTTTTTGTTGAACAGTGTTACAAAAAGTTTGAAATTCTAGCAGTTATAATTCTATAAAAATAAATCGTACAATCATAAACTAAAATTCATTTGAAAGCTCTTGAATAAAACTTTTAGATTTCATTTAGAGAAAAAGTTTTAGTTTGCCGTAAAAAATGTTTAATGTTTAAAATGATCAAAAACGTTATTTTTGACCCATTTCATCTTAAACTCCTAACACGCTACACAAATTCTGCTAATAGCATCGTGTTTAACGCGAAAAATCTACGAGATATATACTACGGCACTTCGGAGAGAAAAAAATTCGACTTTTTGTAGAACAATATAATTAATGCATCTCTTTCTTGGCGCATTTTCGATGCATACAGAAATACGGAAGCGCGTTGAAAATATCGATCGACTACAATTTATGTTTGAAACTTGGAAAGAAACTCAGAATATAAGAAAAAGAAAGAATGAGATATATATGAATGCCAAAAAGTAATTGTCCTAGTTTTGAGAATATGCAATATTTTGTTAATTGTACAATTTATTTTAAAATGTCAAAAATAATGATATTTAATGCTTCTTGAAGATTCCTTGAGTTCATGTTTGCGATAGCTGAACTAATAATCTGAAATTGGAAGAGTAACTTTAAAATGAAGGATTTTTCAAGAAAATCTTAATCTGCCACCGTGTATGAATGTCTTTAAGAATAAGTGTTAAAAATCAAATTGGACGTACTTGCAATGTCTCTGAATTATTTAAATAGATCTATTATGCGAATTAATTAATTAAAGATATGGAACTGACTTGCCGAAGTGAGAGCCTGTCCCTTTTCGGAGAAAGATGGACTCAACGTCAGCTTCAATCTGAATTTCAATCCCTGCTTGGATCTTTCAAATCAGCCATCGCTACTAACTTTGTACTCTTCTCTCAAACTTACTAGTAAAGTATATAATTCTACGCGAAAGCACATCAAGAGAAATATCGCTTTGACATGTTGCCCATGCATATGCGAATTCTTGTAAAAGATGACTATACATGTTTAGTTTGGATTTCAAATAACTTTGAAATCGGCTTTGTGCCAAGGAAAAACTCAAACTAAACTCGAACGTTCGAATTTCGTCCAACGTGATACCTCTATCTGCAATACTTTTAATGCAAAGATTAGCAGAGGTTACATAAAATCTATTTGTACTTTTCAAACAGAGAATATCTTTTTATCTTTTATCAGAGAATATCTAATTTATCTCGGATTTTTACAGAAAAGGTACAACAATTCGCAATTAAAATATTCAAAGAGATTTGAGAGATAATACACACACACACACACACACACACATACACACACACACACACACACACACACACATACACACACGATATAATTTTCATTTAATCACTTAAGTAGTCGCGAATTCGTTGGATCCGACAACGAAGTTATAAATATGCATTTTCTGCGTATATCATTTGCCATATAAAAAGGAAAATGTGCTCTCGACAAAAATTGTAAAAGTATTCGTTATTTCTTTCCTATTCTCGTGCCAAAGAAATGAGAATTCTGTTGTTTTCATTTATTTATAACCAAAAACGCACAGCGCCATTAGTGAAATTCTACGTTACAATAGCGCGCGTTAAATGTTCCAAGAAGTTTTAGTAAACGTAAAACAAACTTTGACAAATGTTCTGCATGCCAATAAGCATTTGAAAAATTCGACTAAGCCGTTTTGCTTCCAATTTTTTCACGAAATATTCTGTATTTGTGTAAAAGTAGTTACGATATTAAATTACGAAGCATTATTAAGCTGACGCAGTCACTATTTGTAACGAAAAGCAACAAAATAATAAGAATAAAGTTAAAAAAGCAGATTAAATAATTTATATTACTTTATCACTGGTTGCAGCAAAGAAAGCAACTGTTGTAAAATTCTTTAATATGATTGGTTTATACATTTAGATCCAGTGAGGATCTAAGAGCAAGATTAATCTTAATTTTACAACAGAGAGTTACAAAGCTGCTTTCTCTGTTGAATGCAGCTCTTGTAAACGCAAAAATCAATACTAGTATTATCACTCACCATGGTCGTCTTCATAGATAATCACCACCTTGGTCCAATTGAGGAACTCCATGATGTCCTGATAAGCGGTGTTGAGCAGACTTTGTGCGGGATAGAGATTAATGCTGAACTCTTTCGCTTCCGTCTCCAGGTCCAGCCTGGCCTCGAGATGTGGAATATCGAGGGCGTCGCAGATACTATGAATGTGTTGACCCAGGATTGGATCTGAAGGTCCGAAGACCGCCTGAACGCCATGCTTGACTTGCTGGCACGCTGCAAGAAAAAGTGACATGCGCGTTTTAACACGAATAGCTTTTTTGGCAAATTTGTTTGAGCAAGCAAGATAGTAGTAACGTATACTAACAACTTGGCAGAAAACTTGGCAACTCTGCGTCCGCATTAACGAGCAATAATTCAAGCAGATACTCTCGTAATAGATTTTCGAAGCACTGATTTTAATTATCCGGAGAAAAATCGCGAGTGTAATGCTACTATTAGTTTAATCAAGTTTTTCGTTCCTTTACGTAATTAACGTTTCTCCGTCCAACCTCCCGTTCTCACGACGAAAGAGAAGAAAGCGATTAACTCGAAATTACGAGTTTTCCTCCTACCGTTAATGCCGACATAATGATGCCGTGTCACGGTCGATAATCCACCCCAGAGCATGGCCAAGAAAACCGCCGTAAACTGAGGGTAACGCCGCATTAACGCTACACTACATGTAGAGGTACAAGATCGTACTGTTTGCTCTCTCTCTCTCTCTCTTTCTCTTACGCCACTTCGGGGTTATTGTGCGAGCATAAGGGTCAGTTGCTGTACGTATAGAATGACTGAACCTGGAACGTACTGGCACACCCAACGGGTTATCTCGTGTAAGTTCCGAGTGTTGTCGCACGTCCGGCCAACGTTAGACAACCGACCGACCCAGAGTTACTCGAGCATCGCTTCACCCGTCCACAGGAACAAACCCGACTGCACGCTGCTTCTGTCTTTACATCGCCAAGTTAATTTACGTTGTCGCACGCGGACAGAAATCGATTTTCGGAGCGTGCCTTACTCCGAAGTTACCGCGTCTATGCAACAACAAGACAACGTTAGTTAAATCAAGTGCCACGAATAGCGAATCTCGGTAAATGTGAGCGCTATCGCACTTCCAGATTGCTCACGAGTTATAGCGTATAGTGTAGTGTGATGATTGTCACGTGAGAAGCTACAAGGAATTGCGAAGCAGTTAGAAAGGCAATCAAAGTAAACGCATAAGGTAAATGTACTAGTTAATGGACATGAACCAATTGTTGGACAAAGTGATAAAACATTTCAAATATAAAGCTTTTGATGGTATATGTACGATTTTAAATTAATTTGTAATTAAATTTTTATAAACAATAAATTTATTTAAAGTTGTACATATCGTTAAAAGCTCAATATTTACAATTTTGTACCACTTTGTCCAACGAATTGGATCATATCTACTAACTGTCCACTAACTGGTACATTTACCTTAAATTCTGAAAGGCTGACGCCTGCCAAATATCTTGTCGTATACCACTAAAATAAAGTCTACAAAAATCGTGTAAACATTTCATTACAAAAAATTATATATTACACGAAATTATATATTAGAAGCATTCAAGATCCAGCTTGACCGTTACGGCATGTTCTCATCATATTTAGTTTAAACATTTTTTATGTTATTTGATGTCAAAATAATGACAAATAACATCAATTTGTTATTTATAATGATTTGATAAACACACAAAACTTTGTGGTAAAATTTTTTTGTTATTAAAATTGTTTTGTTATTTCGTAGATTATAATGCAGTAATGAATAAATGTTTAGATTTACGGAAGCCATTAGCAGTATAGATATAAGATAAAGCTGCTTTCGGTTTCAAAAATGCTAGGTCTTTTCCTGATGGATGATTAAGCCGTCCCGTCCAGTTATCTCCGATTATCACAAGAGAACAGCGGAAAAGATCAACGAGAAGCTGGAAGCCAGCGAGTAATGGGTTCTTGTGCAGTGAGATAATGGGTTTTCGAGGTTCCATTATCATTCCACGTTACAGTGGTGATATCGCCGTCATTATACGTGGATTACACCAATCCAGATGGTTCCTTTTTTTTTACAGTATACTGAGTATTTCTAATGACATAATCAGTAATACAAAACTGTGAAGAAAGAAAATACCGAGTAAAATAAAATTTAATATGAATAGTAATATTTCATTACGACGTCAAATTGAGAATCTATCGATGATTTGATCACAGAAATATTCGTATTTTAAAAAAACGTATATCTGTTAAATTTTTCACTTCAATATAAAATCTTAATAATGCATAGTTTGTTCGCGGAAACATTTTATATGTACGTAATTATATTATACTTATCTAAAGACAAGCATAATGTAATCACGAAGCTTCTAAAAACTATAACGCCGAAATTATCGAAGAAGAAATGTTTTTTTGTTTATATTATATATACAAACTTATATACAAATTTATTTAATTTATGGCGTGTTCAATAATTAATTTAACATTTACGGCATTTCTGTCTGTATATTTTTAATTGCATTGCTTCCATCTGCTCGTCATTACATTTGCAGATTGTTAAGCTATAGGCAAGCACGCGGAGGTAAATGGCTAAGGCTAAAATAAACTTTCAGTCGATTCGTACTGGCGCTCAAAGGGCAAAGCGCGGAAAAATCAAGTTGGCTGTAAACGAGTCTCTCTCGAAAGTAAACGAGGTTTAATTCGTTGCTTAATAGGATGATCGTTAACCTCGGGAAACGTGCCCCCCCCCCCTCTCTCTCTCTCTCTAAATATATGTGTATGTGTGTATATATATATATATATACACTTTTTTTTTTAATACTTGCACTTTTCTTCCTGATAATTTTTTCAATACAAAGTACATTATTAGTCAAATTTTATCGTTCATTCGATCATTTTTCTTTTTTTATCATACGTATTTAGTTATTTTTTATAAATATTTCCATTTTTAATTATTTATCATGGCAAGAGGACGATTGAGTCAAGCGAGCAGTTGAACCGAGAAGAAATCAAATACACGCTGCAAGATAGAAGTAATAAGAGTACACGAAAAAATTCTAGCGATAAAAATGGAATATAAGAATCGAAAAGATCTCTTGATCGTTAGCGCAGAACAAATGCGTTTGCTGGCTATAGAAAGTGTTCTAGTAGATGTTCTTTCAACCACAAATTTTTCTTTGACTACTTGGGATCAATATATTTTCAATAAAAAAATTCCTTTTCTGTAATATTAATCTTATCTTTCAAAAAACAGAGTTATTTAATGAAATCTTCGACAAATTGGATTTTGCCCGATTGGATTAATTACCAGACTAAAGAATATTCTCTCTCTCTCTGTCTCTCTTTCTCTCTCTCTCTCTCTCATTCTTTCTTTCTTTGAAGAATATTATTTTTTAATATCCGTCGATTTTTTTCAATCTAGCAACAGTGTTTCACTAAGAAGAAAAGAAAAAAAAACGTCGAACTTAGCGGTATGACGGAAATAGAGATCACAGCAGATGGGACAGAAAGCGAAAAGTAAAGGGACGTTAGTTGGTAGCTGAATAGCAAGGAAATAAAATGCACGTCGAAAAATGGAAGCAGACAACTACCGCATCAGGCAAAAAGAATGTAATGTTGAATATGATGTTGGAATATCAAAACCAAGGAAATAGATAAGAAATAATACGATGATACTCAATCCATCATCTATTCTTCCAAGTTCTTTTTGTTACACTTTGTTTTCTTTCAACGTTGACGTCCATATTGCGTTTTGTAAAAAAAACAATGCAATTCGCAATGTCAGTTTGCAAATAATAATATAACTGCTTAGTTTTAATATCGATATCCACTAGTCCGTCTTTTTTTTATATATCATATATGTAATCGCTGTAACTGACGGAAAAACATTTTATAATATCACAATAAACTTTTTTATCGGGAAACAATCATTTTAAAAGCATCGCCGATATTATGTAATGCTGTCCTGCACCATATAGAAAATCGATATATCATAATTCATATAAAGAGTTTGAGAATTTCCGTAGATTTTGTTATCTGTACATTTCTCTACAATTAAATTAGTGGAAAATTTTCAATTTTCCAAATAAATTAACTATGCTATTTTCTTAAATTACTATTAAATAGAAACAAGTTATATCTACAATATTTGTGAAAGAAACAATGGCTAAAAGAACGAACGAGATACCATTATATCGTACATAATCTACTGCGGAATGAACATCGTTTTGGTACATGTATAGTCATTTGAACAAAAATATCGAACTTGTTGAGCGAATATATCACATTCGACGTTCCAGCATCAGAAAAAAAATTGTTTCCGTACGCACACGTAGAATTTCTTGTATCATTTACAGCGCACACACGTACGCTAACATGAATATTTCTCGCACTGCGCGATCGGTGGACGATCGGCAAAACGATATATATAAGTCTGACGTTTTATTGCCTTCGCGTTTGGTGTCCTACCAAGAGGCACTCGAAAGATATAAACCGGGATAGGAAAAAGCGACGATATTTTCGACATTATTTGCTAGCCAGCACCGAACGGAGCAATAATCGCAATTTTCAACGTTTCGCGACGCTCGAGTATTTACCACTTCTATGATTACTTTTGGTACAAAATGGCAAACAATGGCACCATCCGCACATTATTTTAGAAAACAAAGGAAAGGTATTTATTTTTGCTAAAATATACAAAACACTTCCCCTCAAAACGGGCATATTTTGTAAAAATTGAGTTGTGAAAAGGTTTACCGTTGAATCATAAATTCCACTTAAAAAAAGTACTCTCGGTTCCGTCTATTGTAAAACGCAGTTCTTTTTACTACACTTTTAAAATAATTGAAAAGTGCATTATTTCGAAAACAAAACGCGCGGATATGCTTTTAATAAAAACCGTTAATATGTCGAAACATTATTAAAAATAAAAAAATTTCATAGAAAGTACTATTATTGTATCTGAGTGTATTTATGTATAATAAAATTTGCCCTCAATTCTCTTATTGAAGTAAGATTATCTAATTTATTAGTTTGTCATGTTTGTTTCTACTTAAACAAAAACTCTTTAATTTGTTTATTTAATGTTTATATCAAAGTGCATACAAGATATTTTAACGTAATATATAAATATATTGATTGATTGCATTTCTACTTTAGAGCAAAATAAACATAATTTGTTCATCGAGTGATAGATCTCGCTGCAGAATTTCGAAATTCTATTC